CTTGGGAAATGGCTTGGCACTTTAAATACCCTTTCACACCACTAAAAATCGATTGACTCTGCATCTTTTTGTGTGCATGTTGAAAGTGGCCACAGGTATGATCATGTGCAAAATGGTCAAAGGTTACAAAAAGGAAATCCATAGTTTCTGCTTTGTTTGAGGTCCAGGAAATTGGCTCTCTCAAATGTCAAATCTTCAATGCGAATCGATGCCCTCCTAGTGCTTTTAAAAGTTTGGTACATAAGCCACTTCATACGTTAAACAAACACTGCCTGACTTTCTGCCTCATTTAATTAGATGTCTGTTCTATAATTCACACTTTCCAAATATTGCTTACTGTTTAATGAAGACAAAAGATACACAAAGATCGTTTTCAAAAACTTAATCTAATTTGCTACCATCACCTACGGGTTGCTGTTGTGCTGCACGTAATCACAGCCATTCTGATATCTAGGGAAAACATCACTATTACTAGTGATATTGCTTTCATGCAGCAGTTACACTGTGTGACTTAGACACACTATTTCCAGTTACTTTGTCTAATTTAGCTTAAAAAACTTCCAAACAAAGCAACAAGAGAATCAAATGCCATGCGTTTCCAAGCAACACCCTTTAGTGGTGGTGTGTTCCATAATGAATCAGTGTTTTGAACAAATCCGTTATGATAATGAATCATTGACTTACTCGTAAACACTGTCCCTTGTTTTGTTCCTGGCTAGATTATCGTTTTTGAACTAATTGGTTGAATCAATAATTCAGTGGCTTGTTTATGAAGACAGTTGCTTGTTTCGTTTTTAATGTATTATCAAGTGTGAAAGAATGTATAACTGATTCATAAAGACAACCTACTGGCTTAACAATGTAACCTGCAAAAAGACCGTTAATGTAAATATATACAGGTCATTTGGATGCTTCCTGTCTCTGATGGAATTACAGCTTCGTGTGAACAATTTGTGGCATAAATGCATATACAGCAATTGAAACAAATCGTAAATGTCAAATGTCCATGCTGGCTAAGGTTATGATTTACTTCTGTTTAGACTAACGGAGATGAATTCCAACATATAAACAGAACAGCTGAGAAGCCAGAGTAAACATAACATGATTAAACACAGTAACTTGCTCTAAATCTCAAAATGCCCGTGTGAGTAGCCTGGGAACATACTCCAGATCTCATTCCTTTTAATTAAAGGTTCTCATGATAAACTATCAGTTTGCTTTAATTGGTATTTATGCATGCTGCTTCTGTACTGTTGTCTGTTACGTTTCCCATTATGAAATTATGAACTCCATAAATGGGTTCACATGGTTTTCTGGTTGTGATAAACACACCGAAGCCTGATCATTAGCAGTGCATAGTTAAATGTGCATGTTCTTCTCACATTCAGCAAGAATCTGACAGCTGGAGGCTTGGTATTTATATTTATCTGTGCCTGTAAAGCTGCCTCTTAGTTAGAATGATCTACACCTCCTTCCAGCATCCCATCCCCCTCCCCCATTTGTTCCTGCTAATTAATGAGTGTGGTGCTAATTAAAAGCCAGGCAACACTCAATACATTCTGGGTCCGTGAGAAATATTAACATTTTCATTCGCAGGTCTCCGAGACTTATGAATATACGATTGCAAAATTTCCAAGGACAATTATAGGGTTGTGAGGAGCATGAAAGTGACAAGAAGGCACGTATGTTATATATAGACCTATATTATGAAGAAGAAATTAAAGATTTCACACAGGGGGTCCTGTAACATGACAAGGCCTCATAGAGTAAAGAAAAAATAATTGAACGTTAGAAATAACTGTAGCCTAGTCAATTAAAAGACATCGTCACACCTGGCCGAGACACGTTTCAGTATTTCATGTTGATAGAACGGAAACACAATGCCATGTGCACAAGTGAGAAAAAAGAGCTTTGTATGAAAGAAAAGGCCTCTGCTTCAGCCGTATGCTGAGCAACAGGAAGCCTCCTACTGGGCTAAACATGTATCATCTTTCCACATAAATCAAGCCTGTGAACAAAATGTGTGTGTGGGGCGAGATAAAAAGAGGCAAGCAGCCCAAATGTGGTTCCACACCTCCACCTCTTTCCATCCACTCCCCACATTTTAATTGCCACTGTTTGCCAATTGCCACAGCTCATACTGTGCCCATAATGACTGTTCCTCACAATGCAGCCATAGCACTTGATCTCTCTTTTAATGATCCTCCTTCTGTAAATTTGTACTGCACTACTTTCTTATCTCACAGATCTTTATCAGCTCCACTTGCCTGCGGACATATTAATTGGGGAGAGATTAATTGACCACAAATCCTTCAGGCATGACCTATGCGCTATGTAAAGCACAGAGTCGCACATTTTCGGTGCTGATTTGATTACTGACTCATAGCCCTCTATAGCTCTCTCTGTGCAATTAGTGTAAAATCTTTACTAGCGACACATATGACAGTTACATTCAATTAGTCGTATGCTGATTTCTACTATAGAGCAAGGAGTGATAATTGTTAACATCAGATTGGACAAGGGTGTAAAAAATTATATCACTGTGATGTTATTTATAGTAGACACTGTCTATTATCATTTCTGTGTAAATCATTCGTAAAATCATGCTTATGTAAATTGCCACGTTAACAGTTTACGTAAGAATGGTTTTATGAACAATTTACATAGAAATCGGTTCTGCTTGTGTTTCATGAATGAGGCCCAATTAATATTTGTTGCTGTTCGTACGCTTAGGATTTTGGGTTTTGACTGGGAAAAGACAATTCATTCAAATATATTCAAAATTATTCAATGTCATCAGTTTTCTGTGGTTCTGCTGGTAATAAGGAAAAAACGGAATGATACAGAAAGTAAGTCTGTTTCATGAACACAGCAACACATTTGTAACAGTGCTTATTTTGTACATGACAAAAAGAAAGACAGTTACACTGAAAACAGTTCACTTCAAAGAACTCGAGGCTTGGGAAATGTAGTGAATTATACAATGTAGTTAGCTAGAACTGTCACTTTCACTGTTTTTATCACTCTGCTTGTTGTGTTTGCGAGGTACTGACAGACTGTCAGTCTGTCCATTGGTTTTGGGAATGAATCCTGCAGATTACAGATTATCGTCAGGCCCAAGATTGCCTGATTGAGGTAGTCTCAGCCCAATTGAAAACTAACTCTAAAGCAGTTGCTTGTGGTAAGAAAGCAGTCTGACCCAATGGACCAATGAACCAAGCTATATTATAATTCATAATGTGGGTGAGCACATTTCTTATTTCAGTTGAAAACCAAAGAGCAGCTCTTCTCATGGCTTTTCCTCGAAACAGATGTAAGAATGCTGTCCATACGAAGCCTTCTTTCTCGCTCTGTGTTTATATATTATGCATATATATATATATATATATTATGCATATATATATATATATATATCTTCTTTTTTTTTATGTAGTATGTATTATATATCCTTGTTTCAGAACAAAACAAATAATCTACAGGTGTGAAAATGACATGAAAAGTAAGCAATATCATATGGTAACTAGCTCAGAGAAAGCTGATGATGCAAGCAAATGTGCAATATTTTTTTATGTTGCATATAATATAAAAAATAAAAGATTGGGTCTTTAAAATGTATTTATTTTTCAGTTGGAAACTTGGAAACGTACAGCCTAAGCAATATGCAGCATTAAATTGAGCTCCTGATCCTCTGTAAAAGGATGAAATGTGCTGTATAACCAACAAAGGCTTATGCTATCTGCTGAGGCTCGTGCGCATGGCATATGCATATGCTCTGTTTGTACTCTGCCATTTAGAGCCAGGGACATTTTTCTTTGTCACATTGCTCTCCTGACTCAACCAGCTGAAAGTGGGATTAGCCTCCAGTGTCTTTGAAAAGTCAAGAAGTGAGGTAAAAATGAGGATAAAGTGATGACAGGATGGAGAGAGGGCGAGGAAGAGCGAGACAGGCAGAAACACATGGGCAGTTACATGAGCAAGAGAGCTGGAGAGAGAGCAAACAGCTTGGCTGGGAGGGACATGGCATGCATATTTCATATATAAAAGACAAGCATTTCATTTCCATATTTAGTGAACACCGAGAGAGCTTATTCAAGCAGTCAGGGCTTTGCTGAGGTAGAAAATCAGCAAACTTGCTGTGCCCATGTATTTCCAAATCAATCTACTGGCATCTGCAACAGATGCATGACATGGCACGTCTGGGTTTCCCATCTGATTTCCAGAAAACCCTCGAACGTTTTTCACTCTGATTGTCTTATCCACATCTAGAAGTTTCATTGTTATCAAATGCACAGGGACCAGTCTGGCCCCTGAAAGTGTTTTAATTAGAGTGGTGGAGTGACCAAGGGGTTTAAAGTAATATTCCAGGTTCAATTTAAGTTAAGCTAAATCAATAACACTTGTGGCAGTGTTGATTACCACAAAAATTAATTTCCAGTTGCCTTGATTACAGTTAGGTGTTATTTTAATATTATTCATATACTGTCATAGTATTTTTTTATATATTTTAAACTAGCTTTGATTTTTATGATAGTTTTAATTTTAAATTTAAGCTTTTGTCATTTTAATTATTTTCAGCTTTTTATTTTTATTTCAGTTCAGTTTTAGTAATTTTAGTACTTCAACTTCACATAGTTGCCAAGGCAACATTTCACATTTTTAGTTTTAGATTTTTGTTTGACAATTATTTTTTATTGACATTGTTTATTTTATTTTATTTCCGCTTTATTTTAAATAATAATTAAAATTTTTAGATTTAGTTATCTATCAATAACAACAGAGCTTGGAATGGAAGTAATAGTGCCAGTCCAGAAATGTTAAAATACTCATTATTTCACCAGAATAGCCAAAAAGTTGCTTTTTTTGCCTTAATCCCCACAAGGAACAAGCCAAGTACAGTTCTTAACCCCATGGAGATTGTTCCTAAAATACATGGCTTTAGATAAAACCATCTGTTAAACTGCTTATTAACTGTCTTTCTTTTTCTTTTTTTTCCAAATCAGGTGTAAAGAGGGTTTCCAGGGCATTCGCTGTGACCAGTTCCTGCCCAAGACTGATTCCATCCTGTCTGACCCAAGTGAGTGCACTTGCAATTTGCTTGAATAAATCAGATGCATGTAAATGCATACATTTTTACTCTGCTGTGTCTGAAGTTAATAGAAAATACCATGTGTACAATCTATGGATTATACAGTCCTTTTGAAATTGTTTTGAAATGGGTGTACAGGGTCACAGATGTGATTAGAGAGAAATGGCTATATAACTTAATCATATAATCAGCTTCTAACCCAAATGAATGCTTAACCTCTGTGGACCATAATGCATTCCTGCATTCATTTGCCAGTAACAACAAGGCTTTGCAGTTTGCAGTCTTACAGGCACTGTTGTCATAGAAACCATGTCATTACTAAAGTGTCACAACATTTTCATATTTTCCTGACAGGAACAGATTTCTAGATTTTCCCAACCACTCAGCTAATGGCTGTATATTCACACGCTTCTACAAACCTGAATGTCTCTTTTCTGAATGATGTATACCATTTGACCAAATAAGGCAGTCAGTGTGTGCTCTTGCATGCATACTTTATGTTCCTGTGTGTGTGTGTGTGTGTGTGTGTGTGTGTGTGTGTGTGTGTGTGCGCGCATGTACAGGTAGTGATTGCATGTTGTGTGCAGTGAGTAAGCCCACTTGATGAGTCACAAATGGAGCATGATTATGAGGGGTTCTGTTTGTTGACCTTCTCGTACAGATCTATCAGTGCCGTTTTATATGAAAGATAATAAAATGAGCTGCTCAAGAATTTGCACATGGTAATTGGTGAATCCCACCAGCTGAGAATGTAAAGCACACACCCTTTTACTGAACAAAAACCAACGCGTATACTATACATCCACACTCATATGCCCACATATCACAGGATAACATTCATATTTTATATTCAGAAAAGGTATTAGCACAGCACATCGATCTGTTTTATCATATACCCCCGGTTTCACAGAGAAGGTTTAAGCCTATTCCCAGACTAAAATGTAAGTCTTAGCTTGCACTGATTGATCTTAAAACATGTCAGTACCCTTGTCTCAAGATGCACCAGTAATGTTTTCCACGGCACATTTATTTTAAAAAAATGCTTAAATGTCCTAATTGAACAATGGCCTAATCCTGGCTTAGTCTAAGCCCTGTCTGTGAAACCAGGCCAAAAACTCATATTTCTGCAGATTATAAAATATAGAAAAAAGGGGGAAAATTTTATATTTAGTATTTTCTTTAAGCTTGCATTTCTTTACACTTCCAATTCTCTAAAGGAATTGCAAAAATCAGGTTACAGTGCAAACATGCCCAGAAAATCTGCATGGGACAATTTCTCATCTTGTAAGCCTGATTTTGAGTGCTAGGATATGAAGGATGCGGCAAGCTGCCACTGACATACTTTACTAGAACTATACAGCATCATTCCATAACTGCAATCCAATTCCAAAAACCTCATTTACATACAAAGGAAGCATGTTTGTGTTGCAAAGAAAGACAATAACTTCAGTTAAATACATTGCAGCTCTATCTTAGCATATTTACCAGTCCTTTAAACAAGGTTGTAGTTGGTTTATGAATTGTCTGCAGGTTTTTTGGGTTTGCTTCCAACGAAGTCACCCCGTAGCATGATGATACACATTAGTGTGTGTGGCATTGTTCATAAACATAGCATTTTGCTCTGGTCTGTTTCTGTTTCTTCTACTTCACTTGAAGGTTAATGAACAACATTGTAATCTTCTGAATGGCACCCTGACAGAGTTTGGCACAGATTTGCGCTACAAGTCTGCCAAGTCTTAGCCACTTTTTATCACTTTTGGCACAGAGACAAGGAGCCACCTATTGAGCAGACGAAAAATAGAATTAAGCACAGCAGAGTACCCAATTTCAGACGTGTCACAACAGCAAATTGTGAATAATGAGCTTACCACTCAATTCAGACAATAATAGCTCTGTTGAAGGAGAATTTAGTGCCGTGACAAATGGCTATTGTGAAATAAAAGCCGCACACATATTTTATGTTGGCCAACTAGACACAACACATTGTTTTATACATGTGACCCTCCACGTACAGGTCACGTACACAGGATGACTTACTGGGCTTTTACAGCTCTTAAATTTTCCGTAATCTCACTGGTATCCCTTCTGTTCAGATGGTACTCTTGCCTCTTCAGATTCACACAATCTTCTTCAGTTCAGAAACAAAAGTAGACAGGCTTTCAGTGTTTAAAGTTTGAGATGCCAGTAATGGGTTCACTGACAGGACAGGCACACACATAGCCAAAGTCTCTCCTGTGCCGCCGCTCTTAAAAGCAACATTCAGAGAAGACAGGGACACCCAGGGTCACGGTGTCCTTTAGTTATACGGCCAAAGCTTTCATCACACATCACACATCTCTCAACCTCTTTCCCTTTCCGTTGTGTCTCTATCCCTCCAACCTCTAGCTGATTTTCTTCATGGGTAACAATTACAACAATTATAGCTATACCCTAAGTGGATATTTCACCAAAAACTATTTCTGTCATCATTTACTCACCCTCATGCCGTTCCAAGCCTGCATGACTTTATTTCTTCTGTCCATGAAATGACAGTCACAGGGGTCCAAAACAACATTGGGCCCCTTTTGCTTGTATTGTTATGGCAAAGAAAAAAAACACCTCAACATTTTTCAGAATATATAATTTTTTTTTTGCGTGTGTTTAACAGTAGAAATAACATTTGCAAGTTTAAAGTAAATTCTTTTTCAATTTTGGGTGGGTGATCTATTTCTTTAAATATTATTTTTGGGATTAAGTAATTTACTTTCAATTTTGCTCAATTACATTTTGAAGGACAAAAAGTTATACTACTTAAACTTCATGAAGACCTTATTTCAAAGGTCGAAGTGACTAAAAGTATTCTGGGTTAAATTCAAGTTAAGCTTGAAAAAAAAAATCTGTGGCCTGTGGGTTATTACCAGAGAGCACATTTTTAGCTCATCCCTCAGTTTGTCAAAAAGAACAGGAAATGCATTTATAGTAATGCACTTACAGTAAAAGCCTAAGAGGCAAGATAGCCTGAGGGTTTGAAAGCCGTATATTTTTGTTAAAGCGCATTTATTAAAATTTTAGTTTGTCATTTCAGATGTAATGTTGTCTAAATTGTCTTTTTTGAGGTGGGGATTAGAGGTCTACACGGAGGACCCGAGACCCGGGGACCCGGGATCCGTACGGGTTCGGGGCTATATTTTAAATGGTCAGCCAGGTCCAGGTCGGGTCCCAATCTATTACTTCGGGTCCCGGATCTGTTTAACATCGTGTGTAATACCCGAGTCGATCGGACTCGGAGAACACCCGGCCGTTATCAGAGTCCTCCGCGCTGTGCGTGTGTTGTTTTGTAACTTTCAACTTGTAAAATTAGGATGAGAAAAGTGTGTCGGTAATTTGAAATAAGGTGGAGAAAAAGGAAAAAACAAACACTGTGTGAGTGTCAATATGTGAGTTATTATTGATTATTTTTTAAATAATATTATGAATGAACCGTCTTGTTGTTATATCTAAATTTGTTGCTCAGACTTGGTTCAGAGAGCACAGAGATGATAGCAAATTTAAAGCTAACGTCAGCAGCCATGGCACTGGACGAGCAATCGTTATTATAATCCAAATGGGCAAACAGTCTAAATTATTATGCAAGTTGACTCGAGATACAAAAAATGCAAAACTGCAAAGTCGCATTTGTCATCCGTAACCGTGACAGCAAGTGGACTTTTGAAACTGGAATAGCCTAATGAGTGGATTACGCATTTCTATTGGCAAGAGAGGAATAACACGGATGGAAATTTCTTGGCAAGGAGGATTGTGTGCATCACAGTCAGGTACAAGGGAGAAGGCTTCTTACATTAGGTAAGACAAAAAGTTTAATTTTCACAACTTGTTTATCGACTTGTTAATAGCAATTTGCTGTGGAATATGTGCCGATCGGGTCCAGTCGGGTCTGTGTCTTCCCGGCCGGGTTCGGGTCCATCTTTCAAATAATTGATGGTCCGCGTCGGTTCCGGGTAGTACATTTTTGACATTTCTCGATTCTGCACGGGCCCGGGTCCAACTTTCAAAATAATAGACGGGTCCGGGTCAGTTCAGTGTAGCACATTTACGGGTCTCTTCGGGTTTTTGGACCCGTGTAGACCTCTAGTGGGGATACTTCTAGGTGGAGGCTCTAATTATATAATTTATTTTGGGTAGAGTTTCAGTTTATGAATAATTATGTGCCATCCGTTCCTGGTATGTCCACAGGGTAAAATAAGGTGAAGTTAGATACACACTTCTTCCATCTGCATTCTTCTGCCTTTTGCTTGCATCCAAAAATTCCATTATGTCTCAGTGTCATATATATTCATCAGAGCACATGACCCAGGGTCAAGAAGAACATATATTCTGAATTATTACAGTCATTTTCTGGATAGCACCAAGGATCGAGCAGCCAAAGCCAAGCATTTGCAAGACAAAGCACCACATGTCTGTACTCCAAGTGAATTATGAAGAATCAAATGTTCTTTTTGTTCATTTCATTGGAAGATAATGCCAGACATGCTATTTAAAACATGCATGTAGTCTCTATCAGTGACCTCTTTGAATATGATTTTTCAAGATCAAAATCTCCCGTATGAAACAAATTCATTTTCATCTGTAGTTTAAGCTTAACTAAGATAACTCTCACTTTCTTGATCTACCATCAGTTCTTGATCTGTTTGATGGAAAGAAGTGCACACTATAAAGGCAAATATAAATTTCTCTCCTTCACAGTAGATAGGACAGAATGAAGGGTTTTCTCTTAAAACATCAGAGATTTTATATGAATGTGCTCTTGCAGCATCAGCTGCTATTGTGCATTTAAAGAGATAAAAAACATGAACCCTACAATTTAGTTTTTTTTATCTTTTCACCCTTCTTGATCATCTCCGTTTCTGTAGATTTACCGCACATTTAAAAGCCAGTAATATTCAAGTAGTGTTAATTTTTACTGCATTTTAACATAAATATACTTCAAAAAATTATCATATTTATTAATT